AATAACACTTAAAACCCCCCATTAGGACCTCACCTTATCAAAATACAAGGTGTTAGTAAAATTTTCTTTGATATGTAGTGTCTGACTCTCCCGTTCTATTTTTGCTCTTTAATTTTTCTACTTTTTTGATAGCATTATAGGCTGCTAACTTTTTTTCCATTTTTAACATTTGTTTAGGTACTCATTGTGTCTTTTCCATCCAAACAGATGCCGTGCTAGCAGTGGGACAACCCCCTCGTCCAGTCGCAGCCTTCGACAAGGCGACCATAGCGATCGGACACCACGGCACATGCGTCAAAACTTGCTGACGGAACTCGGCCTTGAAAATATCGTCTAGAACTCAAGTTTCAGTGAAGTGCAGTTAGGGTAGTCCTGTTAAGTGCAAGTATTGTAAAAATCGTATAACGTTTTGCATAAGTGCTGTCTTTTGGTTTGATAAAAATTGTAACCTATATTATTTTATTTAATAAAAATGTTTATTTTTAATCTAAAAACTGTTTTTCTTTCATCTTTTCAAATCAAATGATAGGTAAGTAGGTACCTAAATTAAAATACCTATTTGCGCCTGGTTGCTATACCCTTTTCATGACCTAACCTAACTTCGAAAACAAACGCTCCATCTCTCACAGTAGTGTCCCACGCCCTCCCCTTCGCTACAGTGAGTGTCCTACACCCTCCCCTTCGCTACAGTGAGTGTCCCACGCCCTCCCCTTCGCTACAGTGAGTGTCCCACCACACTCTCCTCCTCGCTACAGTGAGTGTCCTACACCCTCCCCCTCGCTACATTTAGTGTCCCACACCCTCCTCGCTACAGTGAGTGTCCCACACCCTCCCCCTCTCTACAGTGAGTGTCCCACACCCTTTATTGATTTGTCACTCTCAAATTCATTTCGCACACGTATGTCTCTGGGTTTTATAATAGTATACCTTTATTTAGGCTTGTTGTACGCAAACCGTATTTATTATAACTACGCGATACACAACATTGGGTCTAGACAAAGTGCAAATTATAATCGCAAACCAGTCGAAAAGTGGTCGAAAAGCCCCTTTTTTGTATGGAGTTTTGACGGATTCGATTTTCGATTCGATCAAAAAGTGCGTTTTGTCTAAGGGGGCAGAAATACACTCGACAGCAAATAAATCGCACCACCCGCGACAAGCACTTTCAAACGTATGCATCCCCACTTCACACCAATATTGGTACCATTCAAAAGCCTAGTTCTAAACTTCATTTCATTATAGGAAAGGTTTTTACCCCAAAAATGTTTATTTAGAAGGATCCAGAGTCACTTCTTCAAAAAATAGATAGTTACGCTTGAGCCAACTTTTATGGCTATAAAACTGTTAAGTTGGGATTAATCGCTATCCATCTGTTAAAGAGGACACGTGTGATCATTATTTGGTTTTATAACCATAAAATTTGGTCTAATTGATCCCAGAGGTGAGCCCAAAGTGAGGTCTTTTTTCAAGTCACATTTATGGTATATGTTAATCATTTATTAAGAAATTAAATGTGTTTTTCTTTAAGGATATTTATTGGGCTTTCAAATAACACCAAAAAACTGACACGCGTCCGTCCTCCGTAAGCGCCACCGCGCGACTGATTGAGATTGTCCAAGCCGTCATGGACGATTTTTTCCACATTTTTTAACATAGTAACTAAATAAGACGCAATATAAAAATTTCATCCGTTAAAAGCCCTCAAGTTATTTCTGAACTTTAGTTTAGTAAAAGATTTAGAATCTCAAATCGCTTATTTTAAAAATAAAACCATAAATAGAAAACGAATAGAGGTAACTTTGGGAATTTATTCTATCGAGTCAACTTCATCAAATCGTGTTTCCATCCGTTAATAGCCCTAGAAAATATCCTCAACTATGCCCAATAAAAATCTTAGCCTTTAATTTTACTGTTTAGTACCTCAAAAATGAAAAATGAAAACCTCATTTTCGCCATTTTCTCTGCTACCCGGCCTTAACTGTAGTTCGCTAAAGGCTTGCGTGCGATACGTCCGATGCGTACGATACCGATATGTGGACGCTTAGCTTTATCCAAGTCACTTATTGTTTCGTTTAACTGTAGTTCGCTAAGGGCTTTTGGATCGTTTTGTTAAAGACCATCTTCATCACATTTGATGAAATGCAATTAACACTTAAGCCCCCGTCATGACCTCACCTTATCAATTACAAGGTGTTGATAAAGTTTTCTTTGATATGTAGTGTCACTCTCCCGTTCTATTTGTGCACGTGATTGTGTGCATTGATGTTAGAATTCTATATTCTCTTTAATTTTTCTACTTTTTTTGATAGCGATATAAGCTGCTAACTTTTTTTTGCCATTTTTAACATTTGTTTACTCATTGTGTCTTTTCCATCCAAATAGATGCCGTGTTAGCAGTGGGTCAACCCCCTCGTCCAGTCGCAGCCTTCGACAAGGCGACCATAGCGATCGGGCACCACGGCACATGCGTCAAAACTTGCTGACGGAACTCAGCCTTGAAAATATCGTCTAGAACTCAAGTTTTAAGGATTCAGTGAAGTGCAGTTAGGGTAGTCCTGTTAAGTGCAAGTATTGTAAAAATCGTATAACGTTTGCATAAGTGCTGTCTTTTGGTTTGATAAAAATTGTAACCTATTATTAATATTTTATTTAATAAAAATGTTTATTTTCAATGTAAAAACTGTTTTTTCTCTATCATCTTTTCAAATCAAATGATAGGTAGATAATTAAAATACCTATGACTTGCGCCTGGTTGCCAGATAACCTTTTCATGGCCATTGTCCGGGATAACTTGTGATGCCACTCACAAGTTATCCCGGACAATGGCTAATGACCTTTTTTTTTTTTTTTCGGGGAAAAAATGCATTGAATTGCATACCTATCCTGCGGGGACAGGGTAGGTTATGTGGGGCTCACCAAGTCAGAAGGACAAAGGCATACCCACTAAAAAGACCCCGGTGCTCCGTCATTCGCCTTAAGTGGGAAGGAACTGTGGGATTCCGGACAAAGCCTTCACTACCACAGTCCCTCCCGGCGATTGCCCGCCTACACGGCGGGCCTGTGCAATGCAGGCGGGGGCGCCCCCACGCCCCCGGCCCGCTGGCCATCACCGAGGAGAGGAAACTGGAGGCGATCATACTGTCGCCTCCTCTGACCCCTCCGCCGTCGCCGGAGTGAGGGCGCGTTTGGATCATCTTCGCGTCTTCGCGCTCTCGCTCCGCGGCCTCCTTCTGTGATATTACATCTTCGCAAAAGGAGGCAATGGCTAATGACCTAACCTAACTACGAAAACAAACGCCCTCTCGCGCTACAGTGGGTGTCCCACGCCCTCCCCTTCGCTACAGTGAGTGTCCTACAGCCTCCTCCTAGCTACAGTGAGTGTCCCACACCCTCCCCCTCACTACAGTGAGTGACCCACACCTTCCCCCTCGCTACAGTGAGTGTCCCACACCCTTTATTGATTTGTCACTCTCAAATTCATTTCGCACACGTGTGCCCCTGGGTTTTATAATATACCTTTATTTACTTGTTGTTTACGCAAACCGTATTTATTAACTAACTACGCGATACACAATAGAAATACATACAGGAGCAGTGCAACGTTTGAACTTGATAACGTAAGAACAATAACAGACTTAAATCGATAAATCGTGCTGCTACCTAATTCGAGAGTTACATTTAATTTTTTACACGTTTGTTGCATTAAAGCATCTAAGTACTAATGTAGGTACCCACTTGCGGAGCTGAAAAAACAGGGCGGAAAAATTTAATTTCAGGCTGTCGAATGCACATAATCACAATAACATTGTTTTAAAGTTACACTACAAAAATATACGAGTACGAGTAAGAGTAGGCGCACACCGTTGATTTTTCGTCGGGCAGTTGATCAGTATGGGCATGTATGGGAGTGCGCACACTACGCCGATTCGATTTGGCCGATTTTTCATACAAATTAAAATCGGCCACACTATCGGCCAACTAAAAATCAACGGTGTGCGCCTACTCTTAGAGGTATCGTAAGAAAATCCCTGATGGGCGTTATGAAATGGATATTTTCAATATATGTAGGTAGTTAATCACATTGGACACCTTCCTTACTAAGCCTACTGCAGTGGGAATACATTATTTGAAAAAGCCATAGCATACTTGATTATCATACTAGATTTCCAACCAAAAAGGGGTTGGTCTCGTCTAAGCTATAAATACTAGACAGATGGCTATAGCACTCTCATTTCACCAACCTCAACCCCTACGTTTCGGTCTGCCCCAAGTTCCAAATTCCCAAGTTCCGAAAATGCCTGGATATAGTCGATGCCAAGAGGAGAAGCCGTGTGTGCCCACGACCTGCGCACCGGCTGCAAACGTCTGCGGCCTGGCTGGACCCTACGTGTGCCAGAACAACATCCCAGAGACCAAGAGGTGCTACGCCGTCAACCCCTGCATCAATATCTACAGTTGTCACACCCAGATCATGTAAATGAAGAATCAAGTGGATCAAGCAAAGAAACTTTAACAAGTATTATCCTGGTGTCAGATCAATGTGTTTCGTGCTAGTATGCTATATTAAATTAACCATATACATATTGTGGCATTTTTATTTTAAAAGTGGGTGATGATAAGATACTATGTTTTGGGGAGGGATAAAATAGTGCGTCATAGAATAAAATATCGTGCAGGGTTCTCAGTTCTCACTGAAGATGAGCCCCTGTTCCATTATCAGTGTAGTTATACATCTAGGTCTAGCTAACTAGATTCTTATTATTATGCTACAGCTAATCATTCGAGATATGGAATGGATGGAAGGTAGAGACAAACAGCACTTTAGTCCTTATCCAGGCTCTGGTTAAATATAACTTTATGCTGTGAAGATACGGTTGGCTTGAAACCAAGTGACTTTTTTGCCTGATTATGGGTTAGGTAGTTTATGATCTATCTAAACAAATAATAAAAATCGGTTAGCAAGAAAAAGGTTTTATTTATTATAGACAGTAAATAGTTGCGCGTAAAAATAATTTACACAAAGATGCATACACAAATCACATTGCTTTACGCTACTTTAAACAAAGTACCAAGTAATGTTCCTGCACAAGACAACACCTAAACTTGACCCAATTAGTAATTTTGCTACCTTAGTGGAACATCCACATGATGACAGCAACCAGACTGGGGGCCCTGGAAACAAAAAAGTAGCACTATAAAACTCATAGAGACATAAAAACAAATGATTTGAAGTGAAGACTACACAGGTAATTTCTGCCGAACTGACCTCGAACTAAATAAGAAATAAAACAATGGAAGGTAAGTATCAACCTATCGGGATAATGTAAGATAACTGCATGTTCAAATATAGTAAAAAATTTACGAACCTGTCTTACGTAATTAGCGACAGTGTATCGAACGTTGGGATTGCGTCTCGTAAAGCACTCTACAGGTCTTCCCGATGGTCTCTTCGCGAAGACGCTGTCATACACGATCAGTGGTCGTCTTCGAGTCACCGGATCCATTTCACAATCGGGACAATCGCTTCGACAGACTGGGAGACAGGGATAAGGACAAGGTGGCGCTCGAGGGCATATCGGCCTTTGTTTCGGGAGAATAGGCGGTGGACACTGCGGATTGCAGCAGGGCAAGACTGGCTGGTAGCAAGGTGTTGGCTCGGGGCAAGGACGGACCTAAAATGAAAAGTAATTAAAAAAAACAGCAGCAAGTATAGAACAAGAACATTTCTTCTTTTTTTTTCTAATCATTAACTTACCGGTGGGGGGTCACATGGTTCTGGCGGTGGGCAACAAGGCAGCATAGGCGGGCAGCATACAGGTTGAGGCGGTGGTAGAGGAGGAGGATCCTTTGGTGGCGCTCGCCGTGGCCTACAGCACGGCAACATCGGAACAATCGGAGGAACCAGATCTGGGATGACAGGAGCTGGGCACTGCCTGAACACTGGCCTGCAGTTGCATGGCGGGCAAGGTGTGCATGGGCACGGCGGTGGACAGCAAGGCTGGCAGCAAGGAGGAGGAGCAGGACAGGAGTATGTGCAAGGACCTGTCCCGCATGGCAGGATCGCAGGACAAGTCGGGCAGAAACACATCGAACACATTTTCCTCGATACTTTTATTTCTTGTTCATAAAATTTTACTTGTTAATTTTCCCTTTTTTATAAATTTATAAATAAATAAAAATTAATTTTATTTAATTTTCTTGGCAGTTTATCATCTTTTGTTGGTAAATGACATTTTCTGTCAACGTGTACGAGGATTTTTTCTGTGCCAACCTGCCAGTGCTAGAAGATAATAAAACAAACTTTTTTCTGGAAAATAATGAACCACGAATAAAAAATAAAATCCACGAAATGATTCACTTGTCAAAAACTTTCACAATTTTTTGGTCAACCTGAAAATTTTCGTGTATTTTTTATAAAATATTTTTATATAAAAAAACAGCAAAACCGCCAAAATGAGCGCTCCTTTCTACAGCTACGACCCGTGTGTATGCACGGGGATGCCTTGCGGCGCCTGCTACCCCTACAGCACGAAGCCCTGCGTGGCTTCTAGGAACGACCTTGGCGTGTGCTCCGTGTGTCCTGGTGGCGGGTGTTCACCCTGCCCCGCTCCTGTGAGGCCATGTCCAGAACCATGTCCTGCTCCTCCCATACTGCCACTGTTACCTCCATGTCCTCCATGTGATAAGGTATGCACTTGAATGGACACTCCTTTTGAAGGTTGTAGTCCAGTAGTCAGTTTATTGTATTATTTGTCCATTGATTGTCTTGTTGTAAACTGTCCTTTGTAAAACCAATTAATTTGATAATTAATTTCATGAAATATTTTGTTCACAGCCTGCAACACCTGTTCCCAAACCGGTTCCGCTGTGCGACACATGCGCCATCCCTGTGTGCCGGCCAAACCGCTGCAAGCCATGTCCGTGCTACTGCTGCACAGAGCCGGCGGTCTGCTCGCCGAAGCGTTGCAGCTACCCAGGGGTACCAGTCTGTGGCGGCTGCTGCGGCCCGTGCATGCCTGTTTGGTAGTTGGTAGAGCGCTAAAAATGTTGATGTATTTGTACTTTGTGAATAAATCAAGCTGAAAATCGATGTTGTGTTTGAATACTTCAAATGAATTGAAAATACATCTTAATTATGAGAGTCTCAAAATATATCTAACGCAAATGCGTACATGCACACAATGTACTCTATCCTATCTCTATACATTTGGCAATACAGTTTTAATTTATTAGTCCCATATTAAAGAATTTATCCCCTGCATCTACTTACTTTGATCCTGAAAAACGATACACCAAGGGCCGGCCGGTTCCCACAGGATCCGTCCCTGACATAGACTACTTATCCTATTTTTAAAACCTTCTTCATGCATACTGGCTAGAAAGAATCTCTTTCTTTTCTTCATCATAATAAACGTCAAAAATAATAATGTCAAAAATTTATTTCTAAAAAATCCAGTTTTGCATAAAAATTTCTTAAAAATCATAAAAATAGGAAAATTATTTGCAGATATTAAAAAACAGAAATATTGTAAGTATTAATGCAAGTTTATTATGAAGAACGCCGAAGGTAGAGTTTACTAATATGCCCGTTTATTTAGTTACAGATCTTCAAAAGGACACTAGCTGCGATTCACAAGCATGTCAGTACTGCCCCGAGGGTTTGAGTGCGTCAGGCCGGCGCCTCGGTACGGCTGCGTGCAGGGCGAATACAGCATCTACTACAAGCGGCCCAGGTGCGGACAGCCGCGACCGCAGCCCTTCCAGAGGGAGTGCACGGCCTACTGCTCTGGCCCCACTAATGCTCCTTTAGAGAGGTAATATGCATAGTTATTGCGTCTCAAACAATTTGGAAGCCCACGACTATTCGCTTGCAAAACCATCAAGCAATATTCCTAGACAAAATTATAAGAGTGCCCTTAATTTTGTCTAGGAATATAAACTTTTCGGCTATGACGATTTTTCGCTTATATCGCTGAAACCTTAGATTAATAAAACCTAGATAGATAGTCAGTGCACGAAAGGTGAGGCAGATTTTAGTAAGCCAGAATGGCTTACCCGTAAACGTCACTTGAACTGTCAAAGTGAAAAATAGGTAAACACGTCCGACAAATTTTAATTAATTATGACGGTTTGTGCAGTGAAAGGGTGTCTGAATACTTCAGATAAAAGAAAGAAAGTGACCAGTGTTACATTTCACAAGTAAGTACTACAATTCGACGAGTATTTTACTTGAATTTGGTTTTCAAAAATTAAATACGGCAATGATACCAGTAACAAGAAAATAAATTTCCCAATAATAATTGTTCGCCGTAAAAATACACTTCCTTTTTTATAAACTCGAGATTTTTAAGTCCATTTATCTTATTGTAATTAGGTACGTGCCTACATCTTATTTTTGGTTATTACATTTTTTTAGCATTGCATTTCAAACTAAATTTTTAATTTCTATTTTAGTTTACATTTTTAATAAGCTTTAAAAATTATTTGTATTCAGACGCTGAACTAAATCTAAATTAGGGTGCATTACTAGAAAAAGATGTCTGTTAAAAAAATATTTGGTACCTTTTTTCTTGCAATAGTGCAACGATTTGTGCTGCTTCTGAAGGTGTAGAATCCCAGGTAAAGTGTCAAAAGAAGCGGAGATGTGTATGAATCAACGTGTGAAAGCAAAAATCTACAAACGCGTGCTTTTATAGGGGCTAAATAGGCCGCAACTCGCGACGTATCAAACAGTTCATACATGTCTTTTTCGTTACTTCTTCACATCAGCCGGGATATCTTTTTAAATACTGGTCTGATTTAAATAAATTTGGTATCAATTTAAAGATAAAAGTTTAATCTTTAAAATGGTGCCACTTTTTTTGTTACTAACAAATTCGTTAGTACACAAGTTCGCGTGGAAACAAATTCATGTAAGTGATTCCATAGTTTTGCTCGCGAGTGTAGATACAAACATTATGTAATGAAAAATTGGAGAACTAACTCATTAGCGAACTTAAAAGAGACCTAGAGAATATTTCTAGACAGTTAATAGGCGAGCACTGCGTGCGTATGTTATTTCTTAAAATTATTATTGGCTTGCATTCCGTCTCTTTCCATAAATACTTTGTTGACGGTCGCAACTCATAACTGTCGTCGAAAGTACACAATAAAAAGTTTCATGAGCACTAATAAGAAGATATTTGTATTGGAAGTTTGATGGCTGCTAAAAATAAGTTTGTTTTTCCAGGCCCTGCTGCTACGATTACCCTTGTAAGGCGCATTGCTTCAACCACGGTGCGTGTACTCGGCCTAGCGGGCGTTACGCTCGTACGGTGTGGTACCCTGGTGAATGCCGTCCCGCAGTACCTCCTTGCCAGGCCTTCACGTGTCCTAACCCGCCTTTCCATCCTTGCTGCTACCACACTTGTAACAAGCTTGTGTAACACCTACAAAACTATAACAACGTCTCAGATCAAATTGTGGCGCTGAAACTACTGAAGTCCTGAGTCTTCGTGCCTCTTGGGGTCGGAGATTGTGATGTGTTGTAAACATGTTTGTGAATCGTCGCTAATGTCGTCCAATAAACGTTAAACCTAATTTATGTGCATTGTTTCTTTTCATTCTTGTTGATACCTTGCTATTGCGATTGAGATCTAGCTTAATGGAAGTAGTAGAGTCAGTAGTAAGTTATTGAAAATATGGCCTCCCACTAAGTGGACCCGCAATCTGATGTGAAAGTCACGGGAAGCGCTTAGATGTGGGTAGCGCGCAGGACAGACATCCTTGTGGAAATGCCCAAGCTTTCCCAAGGGCTGCGATAGGCTGAAACGGTAGAACGAAGGAAGTTATTGAAAATGTTTGTTAAAAAGCTACGAGTACAATTAGAATTAGGTACATTTAACAATTCCTAGGCCTGTCTGTCTAATGAGCACAGTGTAGATCTGAAATATTGTTTGGTACACAAAACAGCTAGTTATTGCCAGCTTTATTGGTTTTAAACACTGTTTTGAAACTACACAAAATATACTACGAAAACCGTACAAAATCATTTCGTTGTGGTTAACAAACGATCGGAATAAACTTGCGGTAGGTAAGTCTGTAGAAGCTTTTACACCCTTTTAAAACATACATTAATATCAGTCGGTCTGTAAGTAAAATACATGCCAATAAACTTATCTGGCATGGACGCGAGAAGTAACAGTGCCACGACAGTGCCAGCCACTAGACAATCACTCAATGTAGAGACATAAAATGTAGCCCAGTGTACAAATTGCTCTTGCTACATAGCAAATTCTATTCTATACCCCGTACACAACACATAATGTTATTCTGGCATATGCGCACGATTCCTCCTACGATCGCATCATTCAGCTTCGCAAAGTTCGCAATCGAATAGTAGTTTTCGCGCGCTTTTCGCGGTCAGTTGCGTTGTATTTTCTTGTTTTCGAAATAGTTTGCGAGTAAAAACTTTTTGAAAACTTTATATTTTTGTGGCCAGTGTTTTATACACGCGAATGTTTTCCTCAAGATGTCTGTGTTTTTTAAATATTTTTTAATTGGATGTTTTATTGGTAAGTCATTTTCAAAAAGTTACGCAATTTAGCAGGGTTTCTTCTTTTCAAGTTTATTTGGATATATCTAAAGCTTAAAATCGGGAGCCTGTGCCATTTGATTACAACTATAGGCATTTACTTAATTATCTTACTACACTGCTAAATCATAATATACCTAAGATTTTGTGGCGTTGAGACAGACTCGTGCTTCTGTATTTTACTGCTAAATCATGCTTTTTGATTGTATCCCATCCCTGAAAGGACCATTTAATATTTTAATATTGACACTCAAGAAACTGCTTAACATTTCGCCTGCATCCGTCAGAAAGAGTTAGCTCCCGCTCGCATTCAAAAGCACGTTTAAATCAAAAATATTGTTTTTTTTCACGGAGTTGAGATATCACGAGTTTCTCCTGAAAAAAAATGTCTTAGAAAAATACTAAGTATATCATTAAACTATTTTGTCCTCTTCATGTTTTTATGTGACTCCTCTGAAGATCTTTAAGAAGCCACATGAACAGTAGGTATGAAATAAACAGACGACACGGTCTGACTTACTCTCGCTATTACTAATTAATTTAATACGTTTTATGCTGGTTACTGGACTTAAGTAAGTACTTAGCAGTAGTTTATGAAGACTTGTCCACTTACATACTCGTACCTATTACAATTAAAGATCAATTAGGAAGCTAATATCATGAGCCAGTCCGCCTACACGTTACATTCAAATTATGTAAAGTACTTACTAACTACGCCATATGAGTACATGCTTTGTAAAATGATATAAACTCCAGACAAGTACTTAGTAAACATTCTTAAGTTATGTTGATGACACGAGATGACACACCATTTGAATGTAATCATTATTATTTAAAGATTATGATGTCATTTTATTGGAGTTAATAATTGGAATTATCTTTCGGATGCATTAAGCATTCCGCGTTGCAGTAGGTACCATCCTAAATCGTCTTTGTTTACTAATAATAGCTTACAAAGACATCTGCTGAAATTGTAGAGTCATTTAGATTTGTGTACGAGTTTAATCCTTTAGTTAGACTCGTTGAGAGATAAATTATTTTGTGGTGTAAATAAATTACAACAAAGAGATTTTTTCAACGCTATTACCACTTTCAACAATTACACCTAGAGCTTTTTAGGTTTAACCATTTATTTCATTTTCTAGAATTTTTCCGCGCCATACAGATATGTGAATTAAAAATAAAACTACTTTACCAAGAAATGAGTACATTTAGTACATCAAGCGTGTAAAATTTGATAAAGTTAACAATGTCGTAATACAATATTTTACGCAATGAAATTAGACTGATGTAAAGGAAAAGGAACATAGGAAGAGTTCGAACTTAAGAATCGACTTCCCTCCAGTGCTAATCGTACAGAGATAAAAGTAAATGCGAGACGAAAAAACAAGGCAGGATGTGTGAGTGATTATAATGTAAACAAATTAAACGTTGTTGCAGGTCCAGCGGTAACCAGACAGGCGGATATAGACATCAACAGGTTAGTGCCATTTGAAAAGTGGCTGTCCATTTGGCACGCTTGGCGGCCGTCACCTTGGGGCATACCCAGCTGTCATAAATGTATGGAGTGAGCTTTTATTTTACTCGTCCGAAACTTTTAAGCCACTTCGGGCTCTGTCATCGCCATCAATAGGCGTGTCAGACGTTTTTATCTACTCGTAATGTACATACGGTTCAGTTTCGTTTCTTACACACTTTACTAATTTAACCGTAAAGTTTGTAGGCATTCTTTTCTTAACTCCGCCTTTAAAATTCTAAATAGCAAAGGTTTTCCTATATTAACATTATCTGTGGGCAAATAATTATGCGCTAACTGTAGACAACATGTGTTTTCAATCCCACTTTAAAACGGTATGTGACAAACAAACAGACCTATTCGTTGGCCTATTTCATAAAGCAGCTACTGAACATTGTACTGAACATCAGTATAAAATTCCACATTATTTATTAAAATAGATCGTGCTGTGAAAGCACGTGGATTTATGAAAACAAACAAGATTATAGTGCTCTTTGAAATATTGCATCAATGCATACCGATCAGGCTGAAACACTAAAACACCTAGCAAACTACGTCAATTCTATTCTTATATCAGTTATAGGTACTTTAAGATACCTTGATCCAACGTGCATACTTCATCTGGTATTCTGTTTTGAAAACTAACACCTGAGTTTGTAAATATTTACTTTCGACTCTTAAGAGTGAAGATTTCTACTATTTCTAGTTCCTCGTTTATTAATCCACCTGCCCGCAGAACATTTCAATGCCACAACTTCTGCGATATTTTATAAACAGTGGAATTAAGTACCGTCTGGTGTTTTATATCATAAATAGCTATGTATTAACACATCATAACAATTTAAGATTAAGCAGTTAATTTAATATTGTTCTAAATTCTTGGACGATCGCCACATCCTTGTGTTGATTATTTGAAAGCTTTACTTTATGATACCTACGTAACAATTAACGATCAATTGTTACAGAGTGAAGCTTGTATCCAACGAAGCAGTACCAGCACCCCCAGAATATACCAATCACCCGCGCAGATATCCTGAACCGTATTCTCAGTACAAAAGGAGCTATGATTATGACTATCGTAGCGGTGGGCACGCCCCACCGCTCTCGGCGGTACAATCTCTACAATCTCTACATGGTACCTCGGAGGTGCCCGCTGCAAAGACGATCGCGGTCTACCAACCACGGGAGGACCCCCGCCTCTTCTACCAGTCTAGTTCGTATCTTAAGGAAATTGATAGGAAAAACCTGATTGGGGAGGCGTCGTCTATATACCCAGGACGGGAGGTGGTACGTGCTGGCAAAACCTATGGTCTGAGGTCGCTAGAGACGCGACGGATGGATAGAAATGCAAATATGATAAGCCCAGGTACTTAGTATTGAAGAAATCCCCTATTATTGTTCATCAAGCTTATTTTACCACCTACTTTACATAGAGCATTTATTATCATACTATTTTACCTGCGTTACAGGTTACAAAAACGTCTGTGTCAAATGCCCTCAAGATAGAACCTTGATCGCCAAGCCTGGTTCCGACATGGTGGTCTTCCAATACCCTCGGTTAACGACATGCTCTGGGCTGAAAGTGCCTAGAGATGTGCGGTTTATTCCACTGTATGGGCCTAAGTTTGGATCTCTGCTTACTAAGGGATCACATATAGTTATTGGTCACATTTCATACAAAAACAAGGTACGACTAACGACACAATGATTCAAATTATACTAAGATTTACTGATTAAACCAGTTCACACTTATTATTTATGTATTTTTTGCAATTTTCAGGATATCCAAATGTGCAAAATGGAAGTGCATGTCATAGTGCAAAATTGTGCGGTTCCAAGTTATTTAATATCGAAATGCGATGAAAAGACCAAAGTGTGCAATTTCTCCTGCCGGGACCCAAACATGGAGCTGCAAGGCCACACAACGCTGTCCTGTGGAGACACGATGGGCTGGACGGACTGGACGGGGGCACTGCCTGTTTGTAGAGGTATTTTTTTATTATTATGTAGAAAAAAATCGACCGAGGTTTTTGTAACCGGTTGGGTGGCTATAAGGTTTCCACTTTTTTCTACAACACTGAACACACCTATTGGGGGAGGCTTTGTCCAGCTACTGAACCAAGGCTGCTGGACTCCATCAGTGGAGGTCATTTGGCTGAAAAGAACGAACGGATGAACCTATTATTAACCACCTACCTTTGCCTAACCTATTCAAACTGCTCGTCCTAAAAGACCATAATAAATATCCTCAAAACTTAAATCTAAGTCTAAAGAATATAGTTAAATTGATTATGTAAGGACCACAAATATTTTTATTTATTTGTTTTCACCATCTTAAACTATCTTTATTTTATTTCTCATCAACCGCTAATATCCGACGTAGGGAGTTACAACATCAATTCCCGCTTCAATTTTATTTATCTGGAATTTTCCGATTTCCTTCCAGCTCGAACCTGGTGCGAGCGTCCACTGCCCCCGGACAACGGCCGGCTGAGCTGCAAAGGCCTCCCCGAAGGCACGGGCCTAGCTGAAGGGTCTACGTGCCGCGTTCGCTGCGCCAGAGGTTGGCACTGGTCTCCTCGCGCAGCCACCGTGTGTCGACGAGGAGCATGGACCTTTAATATTACGTGCCAGAGGAGAAGTAATCATTCATTTGGGGGATAGAAAGTAATATTCTAACAGTCTTCCTCTTTATAAGTAAGTAGTATTATTCGTTCTAAGTAAAAAATAAACATGTAAGAGTAGGTACCTAGTACTATCGATACTAGTACTACAGTTACTACTCACCCGATGTATTTGTGTGATAAGCTACTTATTTGTTTTAAAAAATTTAGATTTTTAATATACACATAATAAACTTTTAACATTGTATTTAAGTAATTAGTGTATAATAACCATGATTTATTTTTGATAAAGGATTTATTTACAACTCTGTTTTATTCCACGTTTAGATATTAGATACCCTAGAAATTATGGTATAATATGAAATAACAGGACTTTTTGCACAGAAACTAGCGCGCAGGGTATCTCCAGTTGGTGAAATGCTCTAAGTATCCAAAAAAAATTAATAACGTTAACGTTATTATTATAATGTAACGCTACCGTTACTTTATTTCTTTGCCCAAAACGTAATTTTTAAAAATATAAAAGAGTTGCCAGTGTATAACTTCTCCCCAAAAATTTAGGAAGAAAATTGACCCAAATCTAAATAATAAATTAAAATGTTAAAATTGAACATTGCGCGTTTAGTTTTTTGGGATATTTTGGGAAGACAAAATGAACATTTAGTGTCTTGGTTGGGTAACCAACAATAGTTACACAAATTATACCTAGTTGGAGACACCACCACAGTTCACAATATAACATACTTTTATGAAGCTGTCAAAGTGCAATATTCTCGGTTCCACTTTTATACGAAAACGTCAAGCTAAGACCTTTTTTTTTTTTGGCAACTCAAGAAACGTTTTTTTGGTCTCAAAACTATTCAAATCCAATTTTTTACTTATTTTATTTGCATTTTTGAGCTAAGAATTTAAAATTGTGAAAATTTTCAGAAAATATTGGTCTTGGGATAGTTAGTGTCTTAAATTATTTTACTTTTTTATCGCATTCATATTTTTTTTCAGCACTGACTACACTATATACTATATATATACTATATACTATATATATACTATACAGGGTGACTGGAACTGAACCCGCCATAGCTAATACGCGTATAGAGGAGGTCATTTGCTAATTATTGAACCTTGCTTTCTATGACTAAAGTTTTATAGTTTAGGAGATATGACAATTTTTATACTTGTTTCAGATTTTCCCGAAATTTGACCTAAAAACTGCTTAATTTTTTTTTCTCGCATGATTTTAACAGATTTTTTTATTTGATACTAATATCGAATAAACCTTTAATCAAATAAAATAAATTTCAGATCTAGATAATCATTCAATAACTAGTTACGAGCCGCCAAAGTTCAACAAAAGTACAAACCACGATAAAAAATTCAAATTCGATTTCGATTTAAGAAAAAACTAATGGTGATAATGGATTGCCAATGATCTTAAAAATATCTCTACCTTCTCTTCTTTCCAATGACATATCACACGTAGTAATTAGATATTGAAATTTATTAAAAATTCAAAGTTTATGGAAGAAAATGGAGTAATTTACGAAAATTATCCATACAAAGTTTCTTCAAACAACTCATATTTTCTGCTATACTCCTTTTCATAACTATTTTCGTGTTTTTTTTTAAAATGAATTTAAAAATAATAATCACATTATAAAGAAAAAAAAAATAAAAAAATTCAAAATCAACTTTGTATGGATAATTTTTGTATTATTACTCCATTTTCTTCCATAAACTTTGAATTTTTGATAAATTTCAATATCTAATTACAACGTGTGATATATCATTGGAAAGAAGAGAAGCTGGAGATATTTTTAAGATTATTGGCAATCCATTATCACCATTAGTTTTTGTTTCAATCGAATTCGAAGTACAATTTTTTATCGTGGTTTGTACTTTTGTTAGACTTTGGCGGCTTGTAACTAGCTATTCAATCATTATCTGGATCAGAAATTTATTTTATTTGAATAAAGATATATTCGATATTAATATCAAATCAAAAAAACTGTTGAAATCACGCGAGAAAAAAAATTGAAGCAGTTTTTAGGTCAAATTTCGGAAAAATCTGAAAAAAGTATAAAAACTGACATATCTCCTAAACTATAAAACTTTAGCCATAGAAAGTAAGGTTCAATAATTAGCAAATGACCTCCTCTATACGCCTATTAGCTATGGCGGGTTCAGTTCCAGTCACCCTGTATAATGATATCGAAGCTAAATAATTTTATTGCATTAATGTTTTCACTATTTTAAAAATATATACTTTTTGTGGGTAAATACATATTTATTATGTGGTATCCCCAACCGAAGTTTTAAAAATGGAACAAAAAGTTTGACATTTTCGGCCGTTAGATGTTTTGGATTTTTTGCTTGCGAACCAACCAATGGTTTTTATTTACATTCAATCTTCGTGTAAAATGTATAATTAGCTAAAACTGTGCACAAATAAAGTGATTAGGGATTGGGATATAAAGGGACAAAATGGGAACCAACTCAAGTAAACCTCACAACGAGGCAGCTGTTCACATACATAAAAACAACGATGCGGATGTTGGAGACAATTTCGATCCTAGGTCACCAACTCCAGAAATAGTCAGAACACCTCTACAAGTAAGTATAACGTCTAATTAATTGAAGTTATAGATTGTTACAAGATTAACATTCCTAATAAACATTTCACACTGGCTTCAATCAAAATTGGCACGGTTCTAGCCAAAAACAGCATTCATTTAAACTATTAGGCATTGTTTATTTAAACCATTATTGTTGACCTTATAAGCTACTTCATAAAGTTAAATTATTATTACTTGATAAAGGATTAAGAATTTTCGCGCCATATCACATACAAAAGTCGCCTTGTAACCGTTTAATTCTAATAATAATGATACTACACAGTTTAAATCAAACATAGTTAGTTCATTATGTATTTCAAGTGTTTAAAGTTGAAATTAACCTAGTTTTGTATGTCTAATTCCAGGGGAAAGGCGGAAGCAAGCACAATATTACAAAGAATGTTGACCTAAGAAAAACATTTGAAAATGCAAAAGGAGATGAGAAGCTCATTCACAACAATCCTATCTTATCAGCTGTCATTAAAAATCACCTACAGTCTTATGATCCTAGGTCACCCAGTCAGGACTTTGAACGAACCCCCATTGTTATTGCATCTAAAATAGACGAAGCTGCCAGTGACCAACATATGTTAAGAAATAAGAATGAAATAAACTGTGGAAGTCCATGTCTTCGAGATGATAGTGACATAAATGATTATTCTATTGATGCCACCAGAAGCCCAGATTTAGTAGTTCCCAAAAACTTGTGTGATGGATTTTTTGACATGACTCTAAATGAAACAATTAAAGAAACTGAAGAACCATTAGGTTCTTCAACTGCGTCCAATGATGCTATACAAGAAAACATTTCTCCAGGTGCTGAAAGACCTACTCAATTATTAGAAACAAACTTTGATTATGTGGAAACTGATAGTGACAAATTTGAAGATAGTGAAGAGAATGTGATGAAAAAGGAAGAATATTCCATTGACAACCTAAAGGGTATACCACAGTTTGAAATTCTGGATGATGATCCCAGATCTCCATCTGTTGGTATTGAGAGAACACCTATAGTTGTCTCCAAAACCAATCTGGAAGAATCAGCTGAAGAAAATGTTGAAGAAATGTCTGATGACACCCTTATAAAGGTTTTACAAAGCACAAATGCTGAGCTTCGTCAAAACATAGCTAAGCCAGAAGACAAAAACTCAGAAGGCTTAATGATTTATGAAGATGAGTCACTGAATGACACTCCTAAAAAGTCCAAATCCACCAGTAACAGTGGTTGTAGAACACCCTTATCTTGTATGAAGAACAAAACAGAAACGGGTCATACCAGATCAAAATCAGCTAACACATTGTATGATCCGAAAAATCAAAAATTGGTGACTAAGCGTGCATCTCACATTCCCAGGCTGAAGTCTCTGTCTAAACAAACTAAATTGCTAACCACTGGGAGTACTGTATCGCTGAAGAATATTTCTCGTGCATCAGTGATAAGTGGAGATTGTGAGAATACTCCACCACATTCTCACCGGGACAGGTGGGACAAGGACAGCAGTATTGTGCTTTAAACATGAAACCTTTAGTAATATTATGTATCTTTTTATGATTAATGAAACATGGAATATAATTTGAACAATATTTCATTATTCTTTTTGTTACAACTAAATTTAGTGTTTACTATGACTGTAATGATGACAAACAAAATATGTAATGATTATGATGGATGACCATTGTTGTTTACCACAATGAGTATTTTCAATTTTGCAACCACTGAAATAAACTTTTTAACCATTTGTTTTTTTTTTCTTCAATACACTAAATAAACATCGACAGCTATTTGACCTGGTGGTGGTTCATGGCGCATACCTACCTAATATGAAAGGCCAGCTGTTGCGGGTTCGAATCTCGCTAGGGAAACAAGCGACAATTTTTGTTGGTTCCACCAGTTCCACGATCACCCATTGCCCATGGAAGGGAGGGATAAGATGACCTGGGTGTGGACTTCAGTATTATCATTTTAGTTTCATTTGATCACCTGTAAATAAATCGCACCTCGAAATAGTCACATGTCCAATTTGTTATTGTACGTATTTTGTTATGTAATATTTTTGATATTTTATAAAAACCGCAAGAAACTTTTTTTTTTTTTTTTTAATGGACATGTAATGTGACTATTCAGAGGTATAATTTATTTTATAGGTGATCAAAGGATACTAAAATAATAATTTACCTTTTCGGCCCAACCATAAGCATGCCATCGTGCAACGTTCGCGCGGTGGTAAGTAAGTACATTCCACGCTCTATCTCCTTGCAGGGGATAATGGAATGCTATTTCGAAGCCGAGCTTCGATGACATGCGCTATTTCATCTCGTCTGTCTTGCAATTTCCTACCTCAAGAGAGTCAAAATAAAAAGNATAAAAATCAAATTTCTATATTTTATTACTTTATTGATGTCATCACGTTATACGTAAAATACACTACATAAGTAAATTGGTTTAATAACAATTCATTGTTACTTGAAATACCTTTACAAAAATATGCAAAATCACAAAAGGTACATAACATAGTACATAATAAACCGTTAGTATTCGCACAGTTGCTAATTCTTTATGGAATGGTTTTAGAACTCAACATCGAAATGAAGATGATTTATTTGGATTATTCACGAAAATAAGCCACAAATATAATAAATAGGCAGTTAATCTTATACTAAACAAGTAACTTCTTCAATCTCCTTACAGGCCACGTAGAGCTAAAAAAGCAAAACTGTGTATTAGATAATTGATCATATTTTAAACAAATTAATATTTTATAACTTAGGTATTTAGTATTTACATTTATGCCACTGAATTGTCTAAGTACGAGTATTTAAAGACAATCATATTGTCTAAACTCTAAAACATATACAGGGTGCTCGGATGTGAGATTCTGGAAATGTAGGTATAGTAAGCAAATACATAATAACGGATTATGGACCTATAAAAATACAGGTCCATGTAACAGGTACGATTAAAAAAGTGAAATTTTCGAAATCCGCAAACACCCATTTCAAATAATTATCTATAGGTACTCCAGTATTCTTACATTAAAAAAAAAATGAAATGAATTTCGATCAATTTCTTAACTAAACTTATATAAAATTATACACCTCTAGAATAGCCAAACACCCTGTGCACCACAACATCAATAATTTATTTATAGAGGAGTTAAAATCTAAACATCAAAAACATGGCTTTAGAACATGTTTTAGTGGTCTTCACAGTCCATTATTTATTTTGTGAAATTGTTGAAGGTAAGCCAAGTAGGCATAAACATTCATCGAAAATGTCTAGTAATTATGTCGCTTGTGACTTGTATCTAATACAGTTTTAAGAGAAGGTACTATTGATATAATTATTATAAGTTTTATGTTAGTTCAGAGATCTTACACACAAAGAATTTGATTAATCTTAGTTTATTTATATTATTAGTAATATTCATTGCATTGGCAAGCTGAACAATTCCATGCACAGTCATAATAATTAAAATATATAAAGTAAAACAATTTAAAAACAGGCAAAGTTAATAAAATGATTGTCAAAGAAACCATTATGATGACCAATAGCCAATTTACCGAATAATTTGTAGTAGGTATGTTTTTTTTTATCGTTCGTCTTCGTTTCAGCCAAATGACGTCCACTGCTGGACAAAGGCCTCCCCCAAGGTTTTCCACAATGAACGGTCCTGCGCTGCCCGCATCCAGGCTCTTCCCGCGACCTTTACTTTTTTTTTATATTATGCTATTAAATCTGAAAAATTTGGCACCCTAAATTTTAAACGTATGACCAATTATTTAGGCCTGGGAATGTAATTGTATCAAATAATAAAATATTATGCAGATGCCGCGCTAAAAAGCCGGCACTCAACATTGATTTAAATGTTTTTAGCAGAATTGCACTAAGTTACTATAATCTAACATTGAATACATCTATTCTCAACATTTGTTGAGTTAATTGAATGGATTATTAACCGAATTATCCTGAACCCTTATACATAGGTACAATCTTTATTTTGCTTTTTGATTTCAGTTAGCAATCCATTCTTCCAACTCTGTAATTAACAATAATATCCAACTACATAATAACATTTACCTATATTAAATGCAAACAAATTACTAAAGTACACAGTTGATTTCACACGTGAAATGTGTATATTCTGATTATGACTTGCTTTAAAAAATAATGAGATAACAATGTAAACAAATAAATGACTTGTACAACACCATCAGGTACTAAACAGTAAATAACATAAACACTTCATATTGCAATTTCAACTGTTCATAAACCAACTATTTTCAATTTAACCATCACATGGTTATAGATAGAATACTGTCCATATTATTAAGAGGTAGTTTATCAAAATTCATATTGTATTTTAAAATTCTTTAGTTTTGTTGGGGCGATCAATAGCTTTAACAACATTTATAAGTAACTTTTAAACTACAGGAATTTTCTTGCTGTGGTATTTAATTGTCCTTGGGGTCATTTGCTTCATCCACGGATTCTGTCGAAATTGTTAGTAATGTTGTTAATAAAAAATCACACACACACACAAACACAAATCAATTTCAATTAAGTAACCAAATAATAACAATAAAATTAAAATAACCATGCCATGTTATTACATTACTAGCAGATGGTCACAACCAAATCTTGGTAACAACTTTGATTTTACCAGATTAATGTTCTTTTCAGGTTTTTCATGAAAGCATAATTAACAAACACTGAGTTTGATCTGGTTAATTAAACATTCTTGGGCACAAAACTGAGCCCCGATTACGGTAATTTTTAACGTCAACAATCCAGACACGCTTCTCGATTCTGCGATACGATTGGTCGTTCAACAGCGTACGTCAGCTGTTTTGACCAATCGTATCGCAGAATCAGAAACGCGTCTGGATTGTAGACGTTATAAAAGTTACCGTAATCGGGGCTCTGATTTTATGGCAGTCTTTTCTCAGGGTAGTTTATACAAAGGTCAAGTTTCTAACGTGTTGGCAGAATTTGCACAATACAAGATAATAAATGAATGCACTTCAAATCTTACCTTCTTCTTTGTCCTGAGTATTCTGGGCAATAAACTCGCGCAGATCTGAATATGCCTTGTCCAAATTGTCATTCATTATTATGATGTGAAAATTGTTTGGTAGCTTGCCTGTAATAATTGCATAAGACTACACATTAACATATTTTATGTAAGAAACCAGTAAACAATTAAATCATAACTGTAACAACAAAGATAAAACAAGATATATTAGATATATTATAGAGTTTATTACCTAAACAATGGTTAACACAAACATTATTGAGAATTAGATAACTATGAGAAAGAGATAACAGCAATATCTTACATAACAATCATCATAAATTATGTATGTAAACAATAAAATATAGTAACTCATTACATACCAAATTCAATTTCTCTGATAGCAGTATCCAAGCGTTTCCTCAATGTTTCCTCATTTTCAGTGTTACGAGCTCGTAAACGTCTTTCCAGCTCCTCAATTGAAGGCGGCATCACGAACACTAGCAGTGGATCGAGATCTGTTTGCTTGACCTGCTTCACACCCTCAATTTCGATGTCCAGCACGCAAATCTTGCCGGTGCGGCGAACGTCATCAACAGCTCGTTTGCTGGAAAGTTATAAAGGAGCCAATTAGTTTACTGAACTTGGGCTAGTACAGGGGTAGCCAACTAGATTAGACATAAGATCTACTATTTACTAAGGAAACCTAGGCGATCTACCACTTACATACTTCTTGAAATCTTAAATGAAACATCATAGTTTAGTACACAATCATGTAGTATTTTTTGCCTTGCCACAATCGACTGTAATAGTCGCGATCGACCGGTTTGCCACCTCTGGGCTAGTAGATAGTTTTAAAATTAAAAAATAAATAATGACTTAAATCAGTGAAACCATGGACCTGAGAGGTCCATGAGTGAAACATATTAAATGTAAGATGGATGAAGTAATAATTAGCTACTATTATTATTATTTTGAACTATACCTTCAGTGGGTAGTAAATAGATATCATTTGAAAAACATTTGATTTGTCTACATATTCCATATAATATACAATTGAAATTGTAAACATTTTCATAGTGAGACCTATTGGAAGAACCAATCAATCTTCTTGATTAAATCAAGTGACTTCATTCAAGATTATGATACTATGGATACAGTTGCCTAACAACTTTTGTGGCAATATTATTAGCATGAGCAAACAGTTGTGGCAATGTTTTTTACGCGAGCAAAATATTTACTTTATAATGTTATAAACTATTGATTTATCTCAGGATTTTAAAAAGGAAGGCTATCAATCAGATATAATTTAAAAGATATTAAATATGGATAAATTGCACATCCTCCATAGTTTTACAATGTGCAAATAATGTCATATACATTCATGAATCCGCATAAATACTTAACCATAGTTTGAGCAAGGAGGTAAACAATGACGAAACTGAAGCGAATCATTTTGGCATTTTGCCAATGCTCTCAAAACAACGAGCACATGGCCAAATCCAATTCTTTCAATAGTACTATGGAAACCACATGAAACTTACCTTGTCCCATACATATTCCCGCTGAAAGTCGCGGTCTCAATAAACTCGCCCCTTTCCACCGCAGCAATCATGTCATTTTTGTTAGTGAAGTGATAGTGAACTCCATCTTTCTCACCCGGTCGTGGGTTTCTCGTTGTGTGTGACACACTAAATCCAAACTTATCTGGAAACTCCTTGAGCAGACGTTTCAGTAATGTACTCTTGCCTGACCCTGAAGGACCACACAGCACCAAAGGACGAGGCCCTTTCTGCACCATTGTCGCAAAAACTGCGGGAAATTAATTTGATTAAAACTAGCCAGCCGCATGGGTTACTAGCGCTTTAGACGTATGTTATTAATAAATAAAATAATCTTACGTCTGAAGAACTTCGTGATAAAAGCTTTAATTTGATATTAGAAGCAAAATCTGGTCAATTCGAGACCCTTTGTAGAAACAAATAATTTATTGAGCGAGAAAACCCATTCACCATGCGCGGCTCAAGACGTAAATTATGACGTTAATGACGTTTAGACGTCAGCCCAGCCAGTCTGACAGTTGGCTACCCATTGACATGTATACTATGAACCAGGCAAACCTTTAAAATAAACGTGCATAATGCATACACGATTTGGGAAGGAACATGGCCGTGCCCGCAACACAGGTATACCTTGATTTTTTAGAATCCAGCAAAGATGTTAACAAATACTTTCATACACAATTACACCATAATCACTTACGTGTTCATAATATCATACACANGCAACACAGGTATTAAGTCCAGAGCACCGATTACTATAATTTTTAACGTCTCCAATCCAGACGCGCTTCTTCGATTCTGCGATACGATTGGTCAAAACAGCATACGTCAGCTGTTTTGACCTCTTTCCCACTGGACACTTTGGGCACGTGCCCAGGGCCCCCGCCAACGAGGGGGCCCCCATCTGCTAATAAGATCTGTTTCCAGATGATAAGGGCCCCCCTTAATCCTTAAATGCCCAGGGCCCGTAGGTTAAAGACGGCCCTGATTAAGTTAGCGCCCCGATTGCGCTAAATAATTATGTGACGTCACTCACGTCACTGGACGACGAACGAAAATCAGCTGTGAGCACATCCGTATCGCGGCGGTGTTGTTTTGTTGACAGCTAGTTCAAACGAAGCTGTAACGCACATGGAATGGAACGTATTACGTGTAAAAGCTGAGCCCCGATTACGGTAACTTTTAACGTCTACAATCCAGACGCGCTTCATCGATTCTGCGATACGATTGGTCAAAACAGCTGACGTACGTTGTTGAACGACCAATCGTATCGCAGAATCGAGAAGCGTGTCTGGATTGGAAACGTTAAAAGTTACCGTAATCGGGGCTCTGACAGAAAGCTACTTTTTCTCACACGCAAGTCAAACGCTTCACAAATATTTGCTGTGTTTTAGTTAAAAAAATAAGGTGTTTGGAATTTGAATGGAAAGTTTTTGTCTTTGCTTGTTTGCGCGTGAACTTTTCCGAATTGAGGGCTATCGTTTTTATACTTAACAGTTGGCATCCCTGGCGATTGACAGGACCTTACTCTACAGTGGCGCCATCTTGAGGAGTGCAAGTGCGATAGTCCTCCTACCACTTTAGCGCTCACCAGTTGGTGCCACTGTCTTCACTACTAGCAAGCGACAGGACCTTACTCTACAGTGGCGCTAACTGGTGAGCGCTAAAAAGATAGCCCTCAATGAGGGAATGAGGGAAAATCAGCCGGAATGAAATTGGAGCGTGACTAGAGTGTGGACTAGAGATGAGACGCAAATAAATGTAGCGTCTGTAAATTTAGTTGTTACACTCCTTGCGAAACAATAGGTACCGACAAGGATGCAACCATTTAATATATAGTGTGCTAGAGAGAGACATTAGTCAGCCGTTTGGTGTAGTCGTTCAGAATGGACTACCTACTATACCGAGAGGTCCCGGGTTCGATTTCCGGCCAGGTAGAAATTGAAATGACGAATTTTAATTTCTGTGACGGGTCTGGGTTACTATGTATAATATTTTGTTTGTATTAAAAAAGTATTTTTAAGTAGTATTCGTTAAGCTAGCACCTATAGGTAACACAAGTATATAAAGTTGTTTAGTTTGAGGCTAGCTGGCCCTGTGCTTTATTATTTTATTTATAGCATATTATTATGCGAAACTTTACTCACTATCATTAATTAATAACAGTTTTTTCGTCAAGTCGTTTCGCTACCGCATACAGAGAGCAGAAGTTATTTCTGCTCTCTGACCGCATACGAGTAATTTTACGAAGGCGTATTAACGCTTTCTATTAAAATACAATCTCAATGGAAGTATTTTAAACATTAATATGTTATGGAATAAAGTGATCTAGAAATAGGTCATAAGCTGTATATTCGTTTATATGGTTGCCACATCATTGAAAAAGTATGAACACAGCTGTTTCCGGTTTTTAGTAATTTTCGTATTATTTAAATACTTTGAAGTGTTTAATGACTTTATATACAAAAAAATAATACGAAAAATCATATTTATTTATTAAAGTAATTTTTGGTTTTAATTCCTATTTAATAATGTAATCTTGAGATAATTAAATACTAAAAGTATAGCCCATGATTGTCCGGCAAACATCACTCCAATCACAACGTAGCATTTGATTTGAATTTGTATCCGTTATTTCCAGTCAACCCGTCCTCCTGAAGCAAACAAATCGGAAAACGAAGCTCGGTCGGCGGCTGATCGGCTCGATAGCAGACAAGAAATTAAGTTCAAAAGCATCAAAACTGAAAGTAATTTAGCGTCCATTAAGTTAGGCGTGTGGCCTTTTTGTGTTACTTTATATAAACGTGCCAGAAACTGTTCACAGAAAATGGAAATCGCCAGGAGACAAAGACCAGTAAGTTGAATACTGTTGCATTTTTACCATTTTATTTGCTATGTTTGGGTATTTCTTTACAGTTGTATTGTTTTAATAATATTATAGATGCAGATCCATGATCAAGAAAATGTGTTCGCCGTCAAAGGGAAAAGTGGTATGGCGTTGCCTGCGAAACGGCAAGGGCTGACGATGCGTGGAGCACTAGGAGACATCAACAGCAATGTGCAGGCCCAGCGAGATATCCATGTCGGCAAAGTTGCCGTGGCGACTGCGGAATATGAAAAGAAAACTTCACTTTGTCGAGGCAATGCCAAAAGGTATAATTTTTTTATTCCTAGTTCTACCCTCTGCAAAAATATTTTCTTTCTCGTAATAAGGGCTGACTACCATAATAATACAACGAATCTAAACCTCCATATTTTACTTATACCAAGCAAATAATAATTTTTAATTTGCAGTAACTACAGCCATGTGCAATCCAAAGTCGACACAGGACTTCCCAGCAAGCTTATTCAGCCCTCTTCAAGACCACCTCTCCGAAGAGAAGAAAGCACAGCTAATCTTGCTGCTAGGGCCGCTGCTCGTTCTAAGGTAGGCTATTTTTCTGTCTAGCATGGTATTATTCCTCAACTATGTCAGATTTTAATTATATTTTTCTAAGATAAGAACTTTAATTTCTCTCTAATTTATTTGCAAAAATATGTAGGTACTAGAGATGAAACGGATATCCGGTAACTATCCGGTAGGCCGGATATCCGGCCTAAATTTACTATCCGGCCGGATACCGGATAGTAACTCACTATCCGGCCGGATACCGGATATTAAAAAACTACGAAAATTTCCTAATAATAAAATGAAATGCATTAATCTTTGAGGTAAATGTCAATAAAATGGCTTACAATAATGACGAATTTCATTTAAAGTCCAAAAAGTTACAAAAAAGCCATATTAAGGCCTTTCAAAAAACTAATTTATTTTTCTGAGCTATTCACTCTAATGACAAATACATAAATATTGCCAAATAAAATAGGCGATCTTTTTTTCACTGATGGTCTGATGACATGATGCAGTTCAGTCAGATTACGCAGCAAGTAAACTAATTTAATTTTCGCTATTCAATCACACACTCACGAAGGCAACCGAAATCGCCCGGATTTATCTGCCCCCTGGACAAGTGGCAAAATCTGACATTCTATTCGGACGGATTCGATTTTCGAAAAGTTTGACTAGTCTAGTCTACTAATAGACCCCACTGGTCGCGTTCGAAGCACCTGTGCGGCGCTAAACTCGTCACGACATGCAACGAGACAATGGGCCAACTATCCGGCCGCCGGATATCCGGCTATCCGGCCTAGAAGCTCGCCGGATATCCGGTATCCGGTATCCGGCCAAACAACTATCCGTTTCATCTCTAGTAGGTACTAATGAAAAAATAAATAATGCAACTTAGATGTTTTAAAATGTTTTTCTTAAAACTCAATAGTTTGTTGTTAAGAATGGGTTTTGTTGCATTCCTTTTTCAAGTGATACCAGAGATATTTTTGCAGATTAATTGCAACATTTAATTATATTTCTTATATTCCAGGCCAAGGAAAACAAGCCACTGGAGGTTAAAGAATCCATAAATATTATGATCCAAGCCAAAAAATGCTTTCAAGATACTAAAAAGTCCTCTAAACTGCCAACCGTTAAGGAAAATATTGTCAGAGAGAGTAAGCTAAAGCCTATCCTGAAAGACCCGACCGAGTCCTTGGGGAAACTGAGGTTGGCTGAATCCACAACGCACTCTGAACAAGTTCTGGGCATTATTGACCAAAATAAAGTAGAAAAGAAAGCAGCACAGTTACATTCAGTTTTGCAAAAGTCAACGCCCGAGTTGCCCGAGGATATCGAAGACATTGATGCCGGAGACAAGAACAGCCCATTGCTTATGTCCATTTACATAAAAGACATTTACCATTACCTGACTGAATTGGAAGAGAAATATCCTATTGAATTGGACCACTTGAAGAAACAGGTAAAAAACGTTTGACTTTATAGAATCATAAGGGAAAATGGATTTAAAAATTAATTATGTATTATGCCACTTGCAACTTTCACATAGGATTTTAAATGTTGTTTTATTTTTCAGACTGTGATCACTGGAAAAATGAGGGCCACTCTGATTGACTGGTTGGTTGAAGTACAACGTCAGTTTTCTCTGGTACTCGAGACATTCCACCTGACTGTAGGAATAATTGACCGATATTTACAGGTAAGAAGTTTTGTCTAATTTATTAATTCAACAATTTTTATCAAGAACATAATTTGAAATTAATTGTGTGCGACTTCCATGATGATAAGGATTGTGTTTATTTTTATAATATTTTATCTTGGGTTAATTTTTGAATTCTATATGTGTACTATTTAATATCTTTATCCTGGGCCAAAATTGTTTCATAACAATGTTAAAAACTGGATTCAATGTCAATCAGACTTCCCTGTATTTGGTCTAAAAAAATTACATTGAGTCAATGAAAGATGTCAATGAGATTGAATTTTGTGTCTTTTTGTAAGATTGCTGTAGTGGAAAACAATCTTTCTACAAATATAAATAAAATAATATTTACTCTCAGGCCATGCCAAATGTGCAGAGGAACCAACTCCAGC